GCAGGAAAGGGTCCAAGTTCCCCGTGTCCTGCTCAGGACTCGGCTACGTCGTTCCCCACTGGGAAATGCCTTCGAGGATGGGAAGGGGCAGGCAGCAAACATGTGATCTCGCTTCCCCGGGGTCCCCACACATGTGGGTGGAGGCAGATGTTCGCAGCTGGTCCAGGGAGGATGCTCGGGGCTGGGGGAGCTGCCAAATCTGTACGGGCTGCTTGCAGCATGAAGCAGTGGCTATTTTGGGAGGGAAAGAGCGATTGTGGGGCCGTCACAGCACATAGCTCTCCTTCAGACACCCAGGGCAAGGCTCTGGGCCCTGCAAGGGTGATCGCTTTTCCAAAAAATGAGAAGAAAGCCCCCCTGCACCTCGCTGGCCCCTCCAAGCCACCCAGGCAGGGCTGGGGCTGCACTGCCCATGGGGATGGGACGTGGTAGCACTGCACACTCACCCCGTAGGAGTCCACTATGAGCTGCAGGACATTGCTGGAGTCTCTGGACAAGGTGCCCACGGTTGTGCCTGGGATCAGCTCACTGTAGTTCTGGAGGAATATTGTAAGCATCATCTGCTCGTGACGCGTGAATGTGCCACAGCTGGGCCAGCCCATGTCTGGGCACACAGGAGCTTCCCAGGGAGCTTTGATAGGACAGGAGACCACCAAGCTATGTCCGGCCACCCATGGCCAGCTGCAAAGGGTGCTCCTTGGGACCCGCCAGCCCCCCATGAAGGTGGCTTTGCACAGCAGCTATTACCTGGTAGAGGCCAACAACCGTATCTGTCACAGCAAAGATCAAATTGATGTTCTTCTGCGAGAGTTTCTCAGTCATCAGGCCCAGAGAGGGATAGTCCTAGGAATGGAGAGAGGCTATACCCTGGGAGCATGTACACCCAACTGCCCTGGTCCCCATCATGCTCTCCAACCAGGGCTGGACCACCTTTCCCAACCCATGGTGATCCTCAACAGGAGCTCTGAAATCCACAACTCCACACATGGGTCAAGATTTACCAGTGTGGTGGAGGCAGAGTAGAAATTGTCCTTGTCAATATGGCACTGGGCATCGTTGGGCTGCACGATGCCAGCCAGCCTGCCGTCCAGCGCGATGTGGGTCTTGGCATCCGTGGTGAAGACGAGCAGGTGGGAAGCGTCGTTTCTCCAGCCGATTTTCTCCTGCAGCGAAAGGCAGCTCCCGGTCATGCGGCAGTACGTGCCGAGGACAGCCCTACGTGCCAGCACCCCGCTGCTGCTGCACCGCCACCCCGGGTCATGGATTGGCCGAAGGGACCAACCTGCCCCTGCTGAGGGAACCGAGGGCAATCGCTCCTCCAGGGAAGTGCAATGCCAGGAATGTGGGTTGTGGAGTCTGGCAGGTGGGCATGGGCTGCTTGTACAGGTGAAAGACAGGTTTTAATTTGCTAGATTGTTAATCAAGGTGGCCAATGACTGAGGGATGCCACCCCTCCTATTTCCAGCAAAATCAAAGTGCAGGCACAGAAGAAGATGTTCCTTCTGGGCTGGTTACTGCAGGGCTGACATGGGATCATCATCAGCTCCCCAGCACCTGCTCTGCTCTTCTCTCCTCCCAGGACCACATAAAGGTCCTGCTTTTCCCTTGCCTCGGATATTGGTCTAGAAATGTCATTGCTCATTGTTCCCCCTCTCCAGATCTGAGCTGCACAGCAGCTCCACAGGGTTTATGGACTGGTGGGGTTGGGTGGTCTCTGCCAACCCACCAGGCCCAGCCTGACAACACTCTCCCAGCCCCAGCCAGGCCTTCTTGCTCCTTACATCGCACACGGTGGCCTGGATGATGGCATCAAAGCCGCCCTCGGGTGCGTCACGGTTCCGTGAGACACTCTGCTTCCGCACCTCCTCGTTGAAGCGGGTCACCTCGTCCGTGAGCGACAGGACATGTTTGTAGCCAAACATGGGCAGACAGGTTTCCCCAATCCTGCAGGAGGAGAGCAGTCAGGGCATGAGGCTCGCAGGCGTCTTCCAGCTCCCATCCCTGCCCTGCAATCATCCCATGTCCCACGGTCCTGTCTGGGATGTGCTGGAGGGACCCAGTCACCCCAAGAGCCCGAGGACACAGCTGGAGGTGTTCTAGAGATGCTGGGCTCCAGTCAGCAGCCAGCCTCTGTACTGCTGGGATTTTTAGGAGTCACTTTCTTTGAGCTTCAAGATGTCTCCTGAAAAATGGTGGGAAATTGTTCCCTTAAGAACTTCTCAGTGACAGTGATACCTCAAAGTTTAGACCTGCTCCTCCTCCCTCTGCCAGCAGAACATGCAGTGGAGCAAGGCTTAAACCCTGCCCAGAATCAGACCCTCAACTCTCTGCTGAAATCCATTACCATGGATTTCCAGCCATGTTCCAGAGATGTCCCGTTAACTTCTGGCCCTTACAGGACTCCCTCAGCCTGGGACTTACTCATAGCAAGGGTTTGTGATGGCTTCCGGAGGAGAGATATACATATAGGGGGAAATGGGCTTGTCCACAAAGGCCCCAAAGCCGATGCGTAGGTTGCTGGTGAGCTTCCGCATCTCACTGGCCAGCTTGGTGCCCAGGTTCTGGATGTTCCGCAGGTCATCCTTCATGGAGTTGGAGAGGTCCATCAGGTAGTAGATGTCCACAGGGTAGTCTTCCACTTGACGCACTTGGACACGAAAGATCTGGGAGTCGTCTGGAATGTGACAGGACAGCGGAGTGAGAGATCCTCTCCTGGGAGGAGCAAAGTGGGCTCAACACAGGACTAGGGAGAAAGTCAACATATGGGGTCAGAAGGAACCCAAGGAGGTGGTTTAAAGCTCCTGGGAGGACAACACCACAATTAAAGAGACACAAAGGGGCAAAGCCCTTAGGGCAGGGTGCTTGTGTGAGGCATAAGCTGTGCACCCCTTAGAGATGGCAAATGTGGCTTATGGCTCGTGTTCTCCAAACGTTGTTACCAGGATGTGAGCAGATCCTCCTGCTCAGAGCTGACCCCCCAAGCTGTCCTGCATAAACAGTGCAACCAACACATGCTGGATGGAGAAACACCAAACACGTGGGCAGCAGGTCTTACAGGGATTACCAGGGGGTTGTGTGGCTGCTTCAGGCTTCTCTGGGCTCCCTAGGACTCTGAGCATCTCCCTGGGCCCCATCCCATCCCTGTTCCTTCCCTCTCCTCTTGGGTCCTCCCAGCTCCTTCTGGGAAATTTTTGGTGAAACATTTTCTGTTGAAACAAAAACCCCCTTAGAGAGAACCTTCTGGGGAACAGGCCAGTTTCGATGACTTTTGCACTTCAAAAAAAAAAAGCAGCTGAAAACGTTTGGGGTTGACCTTTTCTTTCTGCCTTCTAAGAAAGACAAAGTTTCTTTCTTGCTGTTCTTTGAAATGGCGTCTTTGAAATGTAAGCTGGTGCACAGCTGCAGCCTTCTCAGAACACCTCAAATGTTGAGGAAAAAAGCTTTAATTGAGCTTAAATTGTTATTGTTTTCATATTTCCTTCTAAATCTGCATGTCACATTCTGTCCTTCAGGATGGAGAACACTTCAAAATCTATGAGAGCCCAAAGAGCTCCATCCCCCCTCCAGCTGCATCGCTGGAGCACCACCACGTAGTCAGGGGTCCCAACTTTGTGCTCAGAGAGCATTTGTTTCTCCTTGTTGAGCTAAAACCATGAGGACTCTAAGCCTGTGGGACATGGGCTGTGACCTGTCCTACTTATAGCCTTCAACATTTGGTCTTTATTCACGAGTCGAGACAGATGTCTCATGCCAAGCCTTGGTTGGGCAGAGAGGATATCAAGCTGGGGTTTTCTTCTACTGCTTCCAAGGAACAGGGACTTCCAGCAGCACACCTACCTGCCTCCTGCCAAATATCTTCAGACCTCAACAGAGCCAGGACCACTTAGTAGCTACGTGTCCCCATGGCGCAGGAACGCTTCAGACTGCTGTCATTCAGACAAGTCAGGACTCCTCTTGGCCAGGCCCAGGGATGTGCACAGCACACCGTGTGCTATCAGCCACTGATATCTGGCCCCAGGACTTTAATGAGCACAAGGAACCAAAATTGTTCCTGCTGAGACTAAGAGTCATCGTGAATGGATGGCTGGGGGTGGCTATGCGTGGAGCAGAGCATAGTGATGGCACCTTTCACTCCATGGTCCCCAAACCAGTTTTGTGACCTGGGGCAAGTGACACCCCTTAGTTTTGCCTCCTGCTTGGCATTGCTTGGAACTCCTCAACACTGGCAAAGGACCATAGCAGTTAATTGGCTCCAGCCTGGGAAATTACAGGGACCTGTTGGCAGTCCAACCCTACCATCTGCTCTATGGCTCGTTAGACATGAGCTGAGTTTCACCAAAGCGCTCAGAGCAAAGCAGCGGTGGCTAAGGTTTAAAGGCTTTACAGAATAAGCTCATGTGTTGGTGAGGTCGCATCCCATCCTGCCCCTCAATGTACTGCAGGACTGAGCCAAGAGACCAAACTGCAGAAATCTGCTTGTAGACAGCCTGGCTGCCCATCGGGGATGTCCCTGGTGGGTTCGGTGCAGCCCCCAGCCTGGCCTTGCCCCCACCTTGGGGAGTGGGACAGGGTGGCAGCGCACCCATCCCTTCAGCCTTTTGGGTTATTCCCACCACATCTCCCCTTCCCACAGTAGTCTAGGGGCTCTTACCCGGCCGCAGGTTCAGCTGTATTTTCTGGGGGCTCATCTGGGTGGTGGTGGAGCTCCCTGAGCCCTTGTCGCTGAGGGTTCGGTCCTCCAGGACGGTTACGGTGCTGGTGGGGAACTCGATGTGGTCCTGTTCACAGCCGTTTTGCAGGAGGTTGATATACAGGTCGCACCGGGGGAAAGATTGCTCCAAGACCTGTGGAAGGGGGAGACCATCAGGAGCCAGCTCCTGCAGGAACCCCTGGGGTTATGCCGTGAGGAGGAGAGGAGGCTGCTTTTTCATGGAGAGCTGCAGCTTTATCACACCTAACGCAAGACCGACATTAGAGGCTTTTTGGGGCTCGCGGTCTCTGCTTGAGGGAAATGGCAAACAGAGGGGTTCTGGGATCAGCAAGTCCTGCTGGGTCTCAGGGTGCGTTTTGGTCTGCCGTATTCCGCGAGGGAGCTCAGCAGCCCCTGCCAAGAAGGAGTGATGGACAACAGATCCCTGCCAACCCCCCTCCTGGCTCCTAGCAGCTGGAGCCTCAGGCTTGGTTTTTGGCAAAGCTGAAAGAAAAGCCTGTCTACATGGGATGGCTGGAAGAGGGTGAAGTGGGATGTGAACATGGCAGGCTGAGGATGAGGGGCAGAGTCTGGAACTTTTTTATTGTTTTTCTAAACTTTGGCAAAAGACAAGCCACCTTTCCCCCCCATTTTCTCGACATGTGCCCTTAGAGATCTTGCCACAGGCAAGGAACAGGCCTGCTGTGGGTGAGCTCATCACATCAAGTGGTGCTTGGTTCCTGTCTCAGAATGGTTCAGGCTTATCTCCTGCTCTCCAGCTTCCTGCTGGATGGAGTCGACCGGGGGAAAGGAGAACCAAAAAAGGAGTGAAAGAAAGAAAAGGCAATCGGGCTGCGGGAAAAGCCACCAAGTGCCTGTCAGGGGCAGGAAGCACAAAGTGTGGAGTCACCGTGGGCCTCCAGCCCTTTCCTAGAAAGCTGCCGGCTCCTCGCCCTTATCACAGTGCATTCAGAAGGGCTCCAGTTGCTTCGGTTTCTCATGAAGACAAATATGGGAAGAATTTCTTTCCCAGCCCAACACTGCCAGGAACTGCTGCCACGCATTCCCGGACAGGCAACAGCCACCCTCCCTTCCAAAGGGATTCTCCATCTCCCTCCCACAGCCCAAATCTTTCTACATTTAAAGTCCTACAGCAGATGACCAGCACAGCCTTTCCCTGGGGCAAAGCGAGGTGGCACAAGTCCTGGTGGGGCTGTTTCAGCTCCCTCCCTGCTCCTGGGAAGCTGGATCCCAAAGCTGCAGCCTGCCAGCACTGGAGAGGTTCCCCACCCGGGATGTCATCTCCCTTAGGTTCAGGCTGACTGAACCCAGGAAAGAATTTGTTCTACGCAAACAAGTAGAAAAATGCAAACAGTGTCGGGAGGCCCTGGCTGGCCGACAGCCCTCTGGAAACGGTGGCCAAACCATAGCCAGAAAATACATCAGCAGGCGTGTTCCTCCCCCGCCCTCGCGCCTGGACAGCATGCTGTTGGTGAAGATAAGTCACCCCTCTAAATTAGCTCCCTTGCACCCACCCACCCTGCAGTCTTGTCCCACGGGGCTCTCCGCTGCAGGGCTGTGTGCCTGGTTTACTCCAGATCCCATCAATCATCACCTACATTCCTGTCTCAGGCGGTGAAATCACTGGAAAAACAGGCGGGTGAAAAGCAGACTGGGCAGACAGGTTTTTAACTGGTGATGGGCTCTCAGGTGATGCCTGGAGATCCCGGGGAGCTCCCAGGACCTCAGAGGCCATGCAGCACCTTAAAGGATTAGCAGCATCATTC